ATATATTTATTACAATCTGATATACTGTAGTTATATGTAGTAGTATAACATGTATATTAGTTAAAACAAACTTTGCTCATTGTAAACTTTTTGCTATTTTTGCCCTAGTGTTCTCCTGGGACAATGTTTAATGGCTCCTACAGGGCACAGCCCTATGCTCAGGCACACCTGGCGGCTCATGCTGCACAGGATTTGCAGCCTAAAAACTACCCTAAGCCTATCTACTCATACAGGTGAGCGAGCTTCTCATAGTTTTACAGTGAAGGATATTATGCATTGCCAATACTTTGTATTCATTTACGTATTGATGTGATTTCTAATTATATTACTTCTGTGTGACAGTTGCCTTATTGCAATGTCCTTAAAAAACAGCAAGACTGGCAGCCTGCCTGTGAGTGAAATCTACAGTTTTATGAAGGAACACTTTCCATATTTCAAGGTATGGCAGTCTAACTTATTAAAAGTGGCTTCTGATGTGTGTTCATGTTTTCCAAGTTGTAGTTACTGGTTAAGGCCTCTGGTCATTATTAATGGCTTGTTTTTGTGACTTTCTAACCTAAATGGTCCATTTCCACACATTTTTTAAATATATTATACATTGTTTTCTAATTTCCAATTATTCCAAGCATTGTTGATATTGATGCTGATATACGGTAGGTAGGTATATATGGTAGCTATAGGTATTTATAGTTTTACTCTCTTATGTAAATCTAACAGAAGTATGTATCAATGTGTCTGAAATAATACCTGTTTTCCCTATAACAACCAATTAGATTTTTAATGATAGACATTATATTTTTTAATTCAGTAGGTAATTAGCAAATACGTAGGTGCTATGCTGTATATTTTATTTTGAACACCAGTGCTTTGATGGTATAGGATTACTGTATCATTACTGTATTAACAGCTATCCATTGTACCTTATTTCAGACAGCACCAGACGGCTGGAAAAACTCAGTCCGGCACAATCTGTCCCTGAACAAATGCTTTGAAAAGGTGGAGAACAAGCTGAGTGGATCATCCCGCAAGGGATGTCTCTGGGCATTAAACCCAGCTAAAATTGACAAAATGGAAGAGGAGATGCAGAAGTGGAAAAGGAAGGACCTGCCAGCAATTCGTAGGAGTATGGCTAACCCAGGTGAGAATATACAAAGCAGGTCACTTGGATACAATCACTGAAAGCCTATCTGAACCCTCTTAATTAATTACTGTAATAGAATCAATCTGTATGTGCAGTAATAAATAACCCTTTTATCAGCTAAGCGCTGCAGCCAGAGTTAATGACCATGTGCTTCCAGCACATAGCCGTGTCGGATTTTGGCTTTAACACACAAGTTTTCCTATGGTTCAACATGTCCCCCTTTAAACACTGATCCCTAAGCAGAACTATGGATAAGGGCAGTGTTCAGAGGAGAGTATTAGCGATCTGGGTTGCTGCCGCTCTCCTAGTACTGACAGTACAAGGCTTTTGTTAACCCTTCTTGCAGCACTAATAAATACAGCTAATTAAAAAAAAAGGAAAAACATATTCATTACTGTATACACAGCCTGCCTGAAATACAGTAAAAAAGGGTTCAATTTGGCTTTAAATACAATGTAATAGTTCACAGTTCATTAGCATGATGGCAAAAGATCTTTTCTTTCTCATCCATTGGGGGACACAGGAAGTCTTTCACCTTCGGGTTATACTGCTGTCTCCAGGAGGATTGGACACTGGCAAACAAAAAAACTGTAGATCAGCCCAGGATAACCTCTACTGCCTCCATTTTTTTTGCCAGAGATCCTAGGAGCATTGACATTTTTTTCAGTCAAGACTCTCTTCCACATTGCTACCCAGCTTAGTTATCTGCAGCCTGGCTTTTGCAGTACCGCATCTGGACCCCGTTTGAGTGGAGCTGTGGGGCTATCCTGGAAGTGACCTTCAGGGACTAGGTTCTGTGTAAGGCAATTTTAAGACCCTGTTCTGGTAACAAGTTACCTGAGGAGTGCTTTTCCAGGTCCAGAGCAGCTAGAATTGCATCAGTGCTTGCCCTATAGACACTAGAAATGCCTCAGTGCTTGCCCTAGAGCCACTAGAATTGCCTCAGTGCTTGCCCTAGAGCCACTAGAATTGCCTCAGTGCTTGCAGTGGGACTCTGTGCTAATGTCATCCACTCGGTGGAATGCCGTGTACTCTTTTTTTTCACCATACAGCGTTGGTTGCAGAAGCGTCTGCCCGATGCTGCTTCTGCTTACAGAATAGCCATGTGGAAACCCTGCTGTCTGCCTACCTTGATTTCCAAGAAGTGAGTTTGCCTCTAAGTGATGCAGTGAGCACCACTCTAAAACTGGAGGAATAATCTGCTATTTCCCGTTCCAAATCAAAGACCCTAAGCTTCAAAGACCTTCCAATGTCACCAATTGTATACTGGTAGTAGAAGGGGTTATCTTGGGCTAACTTAAAATGTGATTGTTTGTCAGTGTCAAATCCTCCTGTAGGCAGCAGTATAATGCGAAGGTCACAGACTTTCTGTGTTCTTCAATGGACTCCAAGAAACGGATATTGCAGTGAGTACAAACACGCATGTACACATTGGGTAAACATGCATGTTTATTCCTGCAAAGGAAAGAGAGGGAGTATTCAGAATACATCCCCTGTGCCAGTCTCTCTCAGTGGAAAACAATAGCTATTGGGTGAAAAAAAACTAAATTGAGTTGCTAGACCCCAAGAAGGCTCGGCCAGTGAAAGGCTCCAAAGCGGACCCATTGACATAATATCATTGCAAAAACTAAACATAGCGGGCAAACATTTTTACTTTTCTGTAAGCATCTTTATTTCTGCTAAATTTTGTTTGCAATCAGGCCCCTAAAAAAGTATTAAAGTGTTTAATATGAGTTTACATTAGACTAACAATATTGTTTTCCCTTATTTTCTCTTGTAGATGAACTGGATAAACTGATTATGGACAGACCTGGAAACTGCAAAGCTCCAAGCAAGCTGACAGCCCCAGAAACACCAACCATGACAAATATTGGGAGCATTCCCGGAAGAGTGCCTATTACTCAGCTTCACCCCCAGCCAGTCATGACATTATCCCTACAGTCCATACCTTTCCATCATCAAATTCAGACTCAGGCAAGAATAGCATCAAGTTCTCCTGCCCCAGCCCAAAGTCCTCCACTCCACGTGATGCCACATATGACACAGAGCCCACTGCACCAGCATGTAATAGGCAGAGGGTCATCTGACTTCCTCGGCTTTACCTCAGACATGAATACAGAGGTGGACTCACTTGATCCCAGCATCATGGATTTTGCTTTACAAGGTAGGATAACAGATGGATGGATTGATTTTTTTTTTATCAGTAACTTTATTAATATGTATTATTAGTCTAGCCTAATCTATGATAATCTGTACTGATATTAAGAAGTGGAAAAACAGTATCGCTTTGCAGGCTTGTTTAGTTTGAAAAAATAAATCGGTGATAATTTCCGTTGCTGGTATCCATCAGAAACCAGTAAGAATCCAGGGTTCTTTCAGTGAAGGTGTCCTTTAGAGGATTCCCCCACTCCTTTCACTTTCAGACCAAATTGTCAACTTTTCACATGCTAAAATGTGACCTGAAACCCCTTAAAAAGAATATATTTTCTGAAAGTGACAGCCCTACTTTATTTGTAGAAGTGACTTTACAACTGCCCAAACCACTTCTACGCAATGCAGCACAGCCAGGAGATTTCTTTTTTTGTGAATGAAACCTTAAGCATTCATCTGATCACTATATCATACCTGAAATAGTAATCACATGATCAGGAACCACTCTGATTGCTTGTTGATGATTAGTGGGTAGCAGAGCTGTTTTCTGGCTCTGACTGCTAGCAGCTCTGCACAGTGTTGGATGCAAGCTGTAATACTGGTAACGTACATTAAAGAGACACTGTCACTTTACCCATTCAGGGCAAAGTGACAGTATCTGTTAAAATACTCTCTCCCAACGCACTGATACTCACCACTTCAGAGATACCTCACTATTCCTGCTTCTACCTTATAACTAGTGCTTCTGGGTATGGAGGTGTATTGGATCTTCTCCTATGTGACACTGCTCAGGTCTCAAAAACGCTTGCTAGGCCAATTATGTGTAAAAGGGGGAGATGTTACCATTGCTGCTAGGCTCCAACACCAGCTGAAGCCAAGTATTTCTGTGCCAACTGCATTAGAGGAAACAGGGTCGGGGTATCATTGGAAATGTGAGTATCAGAGGGTTTGAAGGACCCTTTCACAGACACTGCTACATTGCCCATGACATCCTCTCAGATTAGAGCATTGTGCTAATTAATGTGTTAAAGTGTTAATCTACATTGTGGGTAGGGAGTGGATAAACATTAATATCCAGCTATCAGTTTCAGGGTTCATTTGAATCTGACTGGTTGCTATGAAGCAACAAAGGCATTTGTTACTTAAGACACTTTGATAAATGAATAAACAGGGCTCATTATTAATATATTAATAATATATATGTTTTTGTTTTCAAGGTAATATATGGGAAGACATGAAGGATGAAAGTTTTAATCTGGACACACTAGCTGCATTCAGCAACTCTCCCATTCAGCTATCAGACTGTGACTTGGGGACCATGGGTCTGACACCAGTGTCTAGCAGCAGTGACCATTCTTTCACAGACTTCCAAGTCACCAGCCTGTACACCTCATATGCAAATATGGACAATGTGACACCTTCCCAGTGTGTGGGAGGACAAGGCAATAAACCGATTGCTTTGTTATAGGTCTACTGCAGACGGCACAGTCACCAGAAACAAATTCACCGAAGCAGCATTTGAACAGGTTATATTACCGAATGAAATGAGGAACCACTGTGTGCACTCACTTATTTCCTGGACATTGCAAGCGCTGCCTTTATTATCTGGCCACCAGTGTACTTTTTACTTGTATCTTTTTCTACCATTTATAAGCCATTCAGAATCAAAAAGTGGGCAAGCTGTACAGAATCCCCGAAGCAAATGAAAAGCAGTTTCTTTTCCACGGACATATTTGACAATAGAACGTTTCTGGTGATCTGTGAAAATCCCAATGACTCTGGACTGATATGAAAAAGCAAGCTGCACTGAACTTAACTTGGTTAATTGTTGCCAATAGAATAGAAAGAACTGTGACTTCAATAGCACTAAAATGATATGATTTTTTTTAAATTTCGTTTGCTGTCAAAGAGCCAATAGAACACGTTGCAGAGCAGTTGCGATTCCTGTCTGACAATGTACAATTTTTTATGTTTTGTGACTCCAGCTCACCTACTGATACAATACTAATACTCACCTACTGATCCAATAATAATAATTACAGTGTATTTGTCCACTTTTACCATTGAGGGGTATTTCTGCTGAACAGAACATAGGATTTGATTGATTTGTTCCCACCATTTGGGAGAAAGTCAAGGAAACACATGGAGCAATTTATGAGAAAGGGCAGTATACACCATTATACTAATGCCTCCTTAGTCCGTGTCTACAGAGGAGTGGAAATCAGTTGCCAATATTGCAGAATAAAACTTTGATTTTAGTCATTGCTCCAAATGAGACCTCCAAAACGTATAACCAATTCTCAGATTCAGGGGTATGTTGTAGCAAACAGAATATCACAGTTATTCATTTTTTCCAGTTCAGATAAAGAAACATTGCTCAATTAAAGAAAAGAAAGAGTACATCTTTCCTCCTTAGGGATCATCTGAGCATGAAACACACACACACGCCTTATACAGGATACAACAAGACTTGAATATACCCCTTAGTCTGCATATAGATGTTGACTTTAAGTCGTACCGGTTTCATTCTCTATTCATAAATCATGGTCATGTGTGAAACAGCAGAGCTTTAAGCCATTGATTAATACGAGCCATATAAATACAAAGCATACACAGATTTGATGTTTACAGTCATGAATGGAATGACCTCACATTGTCCTCAGACAGTATTGTGGGGTATAGGAGTTCCCTGCTACACAGGTAATAAGTGACAGAAGCAAAGTCATACAAAGGAGGAGTGTTATGTAACATACATAGCCGTCCGAAAAAGTGCAGTCTATCATTTTTTTTAAATGACAAGCCTGATCATTTTATATAAATAATTAGCAGAGGAACTACATATGAATTTCATGTCAAACAAATGAAGGATCCATGTTTTATGACAGTAATAAGGGCTTGCTATGTCTGTTTAAGTATGAACTCCAGGTATACCGCTGAATACACAGTTAAGATACATATTACAGAAAATGCTGACATGAGGAGGCCAAGAAATGTCAACTATTTTACCAGGATTTGACATTCACCCAATCCCCAATCTTGTGAGTCACATCACTGCTAGGCTGCAAAGTCAAGGAAAAGATTACCATATTTCCTGGTGCAGCTAAGCAGCTTCCAGTGTTACCTTTCCACCTCCAGCCTGCCCATCATTTCTGTCCAGTGAGTAGGCAGTGGAAACAGGAAGCTGGACCAGGAAACAGCGGTGTGGCCAAGGTTTTTAACCCATAGGAATGCCTGAAAATATAACATAACATTTCACATATCTGTATATTCATCAGTTTGCTTGGAGCTGTGCTTTAACATTCTTTATAATACTGTCACTTGTTTTGTATCATTGTCCAAATCACTGTACATTGTATAGCTAACAACTGTTCCTCATGTGTAGGTTAGTAGAATAGGATGCATTTTTTACATGTTGTGTTTTTTTATATGTAATAATATTGTACTAGGCAGTATTATCTGTAAATTTATTTATATTTATTATTTTAAAAAGACGTCTGTAAATTAAGCGGTTAATTATTTTTGTTACGTGTCTTCTGTTGTACGTTTAGTAAAGACCTCATTTCAAATGGGAACAAGTCATGTTTATTTTATTCATTTTATGACGATTGATATATTCAGCAGAGAGATTGGTATAATATCTTCTATTGGGTTGGCAACAACTTGGAACAAGGAAGAGCTTGGTTGGGTGGACAAGTAAAATAACGCCTGGGCAGGCCTACAGAACCTACTGCCTCTGTCAGAATATTGGGACTACAAATGATGATTTTCTTGAGTGCCTTACAGATACATTTTAACCATTCCCATTGATCACCCCTCCTGTAGTTTATAATCTAATGTTAGAGCAGTTGGCACTCCATGTGGTGGAACATTGAGCCACTATTCTGTCTAAATAGTCATGGCTTCATTTGATAATTTTTAGTATTACTATGGCCGTATTTAAAGATACTACTGCAACAGAAATCAAACATTCCTGTGGATTATATACACTGCCTGGACCAAAAAAAAGTCACCACCTGGATTCAGCTAAGCAAATAGGTATGATGTTGCTTTAGATGGTCAAGTCTAGGTTCAGAAATGTTATGTGCCCAAAAAATGAGGTCAGCTGCCTATCTGAATATACTGAATGACCAGGTTTTTCCATCAATAGATTTTTTTCTTCCCTGATGGCACATTGGGCATATACCAAGATGCGATGCTAGGATTCATTGGGCTCAGATTGTGAAAGAGTGGTTCAGGGAGTATGAGACGTCATTTTCACACATGGATTGGTCACCACAGAGTCCAGACCTTAACCCCATTGAGAATCTTTGGGATGTGCTGGAGAAGACTTTACACAGTGGTCTGACCTTCCCATCATCACTACAAGATCTTGGTGACAAAATGAATGCAACTCTGGATGGAAACAAATGTTGTGACATTGCATAAGCTTATTGAATCAATGCCACGGCGAATGCAATGTAATCAAAGCTAAAGCCGTGCCAACGAAATATTAGACTGTGTGGCTTCTGTTTGCCTAGGGTCAGCCAACGCACATCAATATACTTATATTTTAAATGCTTTGGACTGGCTTAAAAACCCCAATATATTTCTTTATTAGTACAAACCAAGGTAAGGTAAGAACAGCAGAAGAGCATATGTTGGTGTGTAAGAAGGTAGATGAAGTATATACACCAGTATTGTACTGAAGACATCCATGTGGAACCTTCATAAAAAGATGCATGTGCTTCATCCACTTCCAGCAGCTACAACATTTCAGTGTGCTTTATCAGATTTACCACTGGAGGGAAAAAAAACAGCTGTCACCAAGTGTGCTTGGCCTTACTAACGGGTGGTCACAACAGAATCCATGCTTAACCGCATGGCTGCTGGTGTGCGTGTGCCTGGACAATGCTGTGGTGCTCTTTTTTTTGTTAGAAGTTTATTGAAATGTCACAAGTGACATTTCATTAAGTTCTATTGGCACACCGATTTGTAATGCGATTGTAATTCGTCTCACTGCGATATGCTTGAAAAACTTACTGCATGCCGTACTTTCTTTAACCACTTCAAGACCAGGTGTTTAGACCCCCTTCCTGGCCAGGCCATTTTTCAGTGTTCAGCGCTGCGATACTTTGACTGACGTTTATTCCGTCATGCAACGCTGTACTGAAATGAATTTTATACCATTTTTTGGGGACAGATAGGGCGTTATTGACACGCGATCCGCCGGCTCTAAAGCCGGCGGATCGCTTGTATGGTATCAGGCATCGCTGCCTGTTTTTAAAAAACGGCAATTTCCCGCTCGCGCGCCCCGAGCGGCGCGCGCGAGGGGGCGTGTCTGAGCGGACGTCTAGAGACGCCCGCTCAGATCTAGAGAGCTCCGGGCCGGCCGTTTTTCTACTTCGGCCGGCCCGGAGGCAGTTAAGCGCACACCACTGCAACATGGTGGTGTCAACTGCTCACTCGTGACAAGGCAAATTGCTTTGTCTCGCATTCGGGCTGTGCTGGAGAAAACGGCTAGCACAGCCCAAACGCATTTGGTGTGAACAAGCCCTAAAAAAAAGCTTTGACCACTATAAGATAGTTACAGTATATGACATTTAGGATGATTGGCCTAAAATATAGCACAATCATTGTGTAAGAAAAGAAGTGATTAAAATAAGAGATTGTAAGGTTGTTGTTCTGCTTCACAATCTGTTCAGACCTGAAGGAAAATATTTCAATCACAAAATCATTTATCATCATCCAAATTTCATGACCTAACCACTGAACCATCACGTCCTCAAACAATTCATCCCCACACAGCTCCCTCCTCATGTATCACTTTCCCCTGCCTTTTAGAATGTAAGCTCTCAGGGGCAGGGCCCTTGTATTGTGATTGTAATGTCTTCCTTATATTGTAAAGCGCTGCGCAAACTATTGGCGCTATATAAATACTATGTAATAATAATAATAATGACTAAAAACCGGAGTGAGGCCACACACATTTTGATTTTTGACCAATTCTGTCTACCCTGTTTCCCCGAAAATAAGACCTAGTACTTTTTTTGGGAATTGCTAAAATATAAGACCTACCCCGAAAATAAGACCTAGTTGTGACCATTCCCAGGGCCGGTGGTGGCATCAGGGGACACTTGAAGAGCCGCGGGAGAGAATCAGCGGTGCCAACAAAGCCAGCTTCAAAAGCCTCTCACTGGTTAAAGCATAGGCCTTGTGAGTGGGGGCAGGGCAGACAATGCAATTAGATCAAATGGTAGTTCTCCAATCAATGGCAATGATTTGGAAAGTTTTGGTGCTACAAGATCTACAAGGGCAGACATAGAAATCCTCCTGTGTTAACCTGTACAACAGAAATGAGGTGTTTCATGCAGAAGCAGGTATTTTTCTTGTGGGTGCTAAGAAGTGGCACCCCTGCAGGCAAAATGTAAATAATACTTCATATATTATGCTGTTCATGATGTCAAGAAATTGGCAAATTATGCACATGGCGCCATGGGGAGCTTATTTTTGCAAGCGTGCACTTTATAAATAAATCCTGTAAATATTTTTTTTGCATGGCAGTAAGCAATGTGCAAAGTATTCCGTCAGAAATCATTCTTCATTGATCTGACACCTCTAAAATGAAAGGTGAAATCTGATTGTGATCTAAAGTGACAAATAGAAAGCTGCTGCACTATAGACAACTAGGTCCCCGCTCTCCCTCCTGAACCTCCCTGCTCTCAACCCTGTGTCTGGTGTCGCTGGACATTGATAGCGATCAGCGGGGTGCAGTTCTTCTGTGCAGCTACAAGATGGCACTGTGCATGTCGCTCAGCGGCTCCTCTTGCTGCTCCAAGCTGAATGGCAGCTCCGGGAATCCCGTCTCAGGGGGGTGAAGCCGCAGGATGAAGCAGGACAGGCAACGGCAGAGTACAGCTTCTCTCCTCCCCACAATTATATCACGGATGGTAGATTTTAAGATGGACCAATAGATGTATACACTGAATTAAGCTATCACAAAGTTAGATTCACTTACTCTTTAATTGTATGATTAGCGCTGCATACCTGATTTCACAGTATGTTGATATGGACAATTTTTTGTAAAAACACCAACTTTACAGTAGGTTTTATGGGAGCTGCTGGACATAAATAAAATAAAATACAAATTTTTATGAAAATGACAAGAATAAAACATGTTCTCTCACTGAAAAAAATGAAACGGTTCACTGCATTGGAGAATGATGTTTTTTAATAAGAGTTGTGTGCAGGTAACAACAATTTCCTGAGTAAGTGTAATGCCAGGTAGAATACTGCTATTGTCTTCTCACTCTCGGGTTATACATCTCCACTGTTTCATTTAATTATTTGCATGCTACATAAATAGATTACAATAGCACTGTCAGAATACTGTATTTGTGCGTGTAATAAAGGTATTTGCTAGAACCTCCCAGAAATGGCTAAACTGATCCCAGAGCTGAATAAAAAGCCATACAATTTGGCTCAAAGTGCATTTTACAATCAATGAACTGTTATGGACAATTTGTTCATCAGTTATGCAGCACAGTTAAATAAAAAAAACAAAAACAAACAAAATGATGGTTACAGTTATTGAAGAAAAAAAAAAAAAAATTTGCAATGTTCATCTGATTCAGGAAAACAAGTGGTATCAGTCGTTGTTCAGTCACTGGGGTTGACTTACAAATAAAGTAGGCTGGTCACTTTGCAAGTTAATTTTCCCTTAGCTTATTGATTGAGGTGAAGCTCTGCCAACTTCCTTCATCCAATCATGTGCAAGTAAAAATACTGTTTTGTTTTTTTAATTTCCCTTGCACATCATAAAGGTTTTTTTTTTGCAAAGTGAATTTTCACCACATGGTCTAATCTAAGGGAAAAATCCCTTGCAAAATGCTGGGCCTGTTTTCCTTTAGTAAATCAACTCCACCGAGCTGCCTGTACAAAGCCGCTGCTTTGTACAGGCAGCTTTCTTGAAAGGCACTTAGTGGTATGGCTTGATCTTGTCGACGGCGGGTTGAAGACTGTGCTTACTGCAGCCTCTGTGTTTAATGAAAAAAGAAAATGTCTCTCTAATTCAGTGTCAGCTGGAAGGACTGTTATCCATAGTTGTTAAAAGCCCTGTTAGCTGTGCTCTCTGTGCCGCTGTAATCTGCTGGGTCATATGGACAATGCAGTCCATGGTTACTTCAGGGTTGGCTAGGACAAGGCTGTAAAATAAGGTAAAAGGAACAGTTATAGTAATAAATGACACAGTACTATAAAAAATACTGAAGATGAGCTAAACAATATGAAAGGCATTCAAGTTGCATAACTTAGACCTGGTAGTACTGGGTCAATGATTCTCTCCGAATTACCCAACATCAACAAGTTACACATTTGGGGGCTGAGTCATTAAACGTGGAGGAAAGAAAGTAAGCATACAGTGGAGGAGTTATCTGTAGCATCCAATCTGTTTACACATTTAAAAAAAAAAAAAGAATTGTGATTGGTTACTAGGAGCACATTTTCCACATTTGTGCTCATTGTTCCTGCAGTTTTAATAAATCACTTGTGATGGATCAGATACAGTACATTCTAGAACAGGCTTTTTATATTATACGTATGCATTCAATTATTCAATCAAGTAAACATGTCCTAAGCACGTATGGAGGGTGCCAGTAATGCCTTCTACTTTACACATTATTTTCCAAAATGTATTTTGTTCCAGTGGCTTCAGCACTTACAATACTGACATGGAACAAGTATACAGATCAGGATTCTGACTTGACTCTGTGCTACCAAGCCAGTTTCAGTGCCAGAGACAGCCAGGCAAACTAGGTTTTTCAGAAGTGGCAGACCTCAAATCTCAGTACAGGTTTCCCTGTACCTGTGAAAAACACATTCACAATACGTAATACTAATAATAGGCTGGTAGTAATAAAAAAAGAAAGCAGCTTTGGCTGAAATAGTCATTGTCATTCCTGAGCTGTCTTCTGCAAAAGTTCCTTTCCACTACTAAATGTTCTCAGTCGTCCAAGCTAAATGACAGCCAGCATCACTCAACCCAGATTGCTTCGGGTCTTTTTAAGCTCAAGGGAATTGAAAGCAGATTTTAATATTGTTGCAGGTAGAGCTTGATACATAACTTATAACAATATGAATACATTCTTCAGCGAATAATATAGTATTAGGCAGGAAGTTAGATATTATTTAGATCAGGGCTCAAAATTTCAGGTCCTGAGCTACTAGCCAGGCCTTAAAAGTTACTTGCCACCAGTTGCCCTGCCTGACCCCACTCCATCCTATCCTTCTTGTGCTCAGATGTACCGAGTGTACCTGGGAACAAAATAATCATTCTCTTGCTGGACCAATACGGGGCATAGCACAAACACACACAGGGCACAACGTGCACACAAGGCATATGCACAGCACAACACACAGGGCATTACACATACGCAAAGCACAACACACAGGGCATATGCACAGCACAACACACAGGGCATACGCACAGCACAACACACAGGACATACGCACAGCATAACACACAGGACATACGCACAGCATAACACACAGCATAAAGGTGCCCATACACCTGACGATTATCGTACGATAATCGCGGGTGATCCCGCAATCGTACGATAATCGGCAGGTGTATGGGCAGCGTGCGACCGGATTTACTGTTTGGTTGCACGACTTTCGTCTTGAGAAGACGATAGAAACCCCGCTGAAAATCGTACGAGCGTTGGTAGCGCGATCGCAAGACAAAAGCCGCAAGCGCACACTGCCCGCTCAGCATTGCAATCATTGGCAAGCCCTGCCCTCAGCGGGGCAGGCTTGCGATGACCGTAAGTACGATCTGCCTGTCCAAGATGGGCAGGTCGTACGAAATTTAAATCACCTTACAACCATCGCACAATGAAAGTCGTGCGATGGTTGTAAGGTGTATGGGCAGCTTAACACACAGGGCATTACACATACACACTTGATCATATTAATCAATACATTCGTGTGTCATTATACACATTCCAAACTGTATAGATCCTGTGGCACAGCAGGGGTTAATCACTGCTCTAACTTCTGCAGAGTTTACTTACAGTAACAGCGGAAAGCTCGGGTTTCAGAGCCACGGCCGGGTTGCCCAGGGAAGACTGACGCTAGCTCTCTGGGAAGCTTGCACTGAGCATGTGCAAGCAGCCAGGACGTTTCCCCTAGTCACCTCTTGCGCTCTGAGGAGGAGCTGCTCATCCGTTCTGTGGCTGGACGAGCACAACAGCTGCCTCTGTCCGTGAGAGTGCCAGACTCAATAGCTTCATTTCCACTCGCCCCCACGCAATTTTCACTTGCAATTTGCGAGGGGGCGAGTGGAAATTTTGAGCTCTGATTTAGATTATGGACAGGCGTATATTTTAAGGCCTAGGACACAGTTAGTAGTCGGAATTGGGTTAAAGCAAGCTGTCACTGTAGAAAAAAATATGAAGTAGAGCCAGCTTGTAAAATACTTTTTACAGTTCAGTGGGTGGTGACTCCAATCCTTGCTCTCTTGCATAGCTACAGCTATCACTGATATCAAAGACTTTTGCAAATATTTTTTTTTTTTCACAGAGACAAGATTGCTTTAAAGTGAACTGTCCTTCCTTCTGGAGGGTGGCCACTTTTGTTCCCCATGGTCACCGTGTGTGTTGTAAAGTAGTCACCGCTCCAAGCTCTCTCCTGTGATAGACTACAATCTCAATACAAATTAGTAAACTAAATATGAGATTGTAGTCCATCAACGGAGTGAGCTTGGAGCGGTGACTACTTTACAACACACACGGTGACCATGGGGAACAAAAGTGGCCACCCTCCAGAAGGGAGGACAGTGTCAGCACCAATTCAGAGATGATTGGAGGATCTACAGCTGAGTGACACACAAATAAGATACATTTTAGTTAATAGTTAGGGAACTTGAACACATTTTTAAGATTTAACGTCTGAGTTTAGTGTCACTTTAAGGTAAGGAGTTGATCAGTTAAAGAATAAAATAAGGTTAACTGTTAGGAATAGGTCAGGGTAATGGAGACACATGAAAATTAAGATCTTTGTTTTGGCAACAAAAGCCCTGCAGGGAGGAATACCTCATCGGGCTTTCTGACGATAAAGCTAATGCACTGTAGAAACTTACCCTCGAATATGTTTTAGGGCATAATCTCTCTTTAGGTACTTTATGTTCTCTCGAATAGCAGATTTTGCACCATCCTCCTCTTGTAAGTGCTTCTCCAGCCACTCAACCACAACTTGGTTATTGTCCCATAAGTATGTCTGGGAAAATATAAATAGATATTAATATTTAACAAAGCATCCTAACAAATCTTACATTAGCTTTCAATTTTTCATGTACCGGCCCTAGTTCAAACAAAGTGCTAATAAAAACACACAATTTCTAAGCCATCCTCAAATCTGCAAAACGTATTACTGTAACTATGCATGCTAAAATCCACATTATTATGAATATCATTCATTATTATGGTATGCAGGGCAAGTCAGAATTATAATAAGTAACGTTGGCAGTCAACAACATTTTTTTACCTTAACAGCTCCTTCAGTCTCCATGAACCATCGACGAAGCATAGATTGGATATGGATGTCACTGAGCTCACTGTTGGCATGAAGGATCTCCCTCTTCACCTCCTCTTCTAGGAGGAGGCGCCGCAGCCTCCAGTACATGAAAGTCCGTGCTTCCTTCCACTCTAAAATATCCTGTTAGAAGATTTTGTTACACTTTTACACAGTATTCATTGCTTGTACAATTCTAATATCAGCAAAGACCCAACAGTACAATACAGTAGACAATATCGTCTTAACATTCTTTGGCACAGGGAAATGTACAACCTAATATTTGTGCAGTAACTTATAGTAGTCAAAAGGAATAACATCAAAGACAAACACCAGTGTGCTATTAATTACTTTGCAACATGTTTTAAAAGTTCTAAATTAACTTTACTGTCACTTTTTTAGGAACATTTCCAAATTATTATCCTTCAAAGCTTTACAAAAATACAAATAGGGCTCCCAGCTGTGCTATCTAGGCCTACATCAGACTTGTGAAAGACTTACTGTAATGACTCCTTTTTCTTGCATTCTTCCAGGAGTGTCATGTAGATCCGCAAACTTCACAGCAATTTGGTGATAGATTGGCAGTAGTATCTCCTCTCTAGCCTTTAGCTTCTTGTCCAGATCTTTGCGTTCTGCATCTGGCAGCTCCGGAGTACCTGACGGAATATGTTAGACTAGCATTTTATTCCAGATCAAAATGCAGAGCGCTCTGGTATTATTATTATTATAATATAGGATTTATACAGCACCAACAGTTTGCGCAGCGCTTTACAATATAAGGAAGACATTACAATCACAATACAATTCAAGACAAGTTGGTAAGGAGGGCCCTGCCTGTGAGGGCTTACAGTCTAAAAGGGAGGGGCAAGTGATACATGAGGAGATAGCTGTGTGGGGATGAATTGTTTGAGAACGTGATGGTTGAGTGGTTGGGTTGAGGTGGGATAGGCTTCCCTGAAGAGATGAGTAGTTGAGGATCGCCTAAAGGCAGTCAGAGTGGGAAATTGTCAGACAAGTTGGGGTAAAGAGTTCCAGAGGATAGGAGAGACTCTAGAGAAGTCCTGGAGGCAAGCATGGGAAGAGTTGACGAGGGAGCTGGAAAGCAGAAGGTCTTTGGAAGAGCGGAGGGGACGGTTAGGGTGATACTTTGAGACAAGGTTGGAGATATAGCCGGGGCAGAGTTGTGGATGGCTTTGTAAGTGGTTGTCAATATGTTGAATGTTATTCTTGGGGCTATTGGAAGCTAGTGGAGGGATTGGCAGAGGGGGGTTGCAGACACTGAGCGGTTGGTTGGATGAGCCTAGCAGCAGCAGTCAGAAGGGAGTTACAATAGTCAAGACGAGAGATAACAAGGGAATGGATGAGTAATTTTGCGGTTTCCTCGGTGAGGAAGGGGCGTATTTTGGAGATGTTACGAAGGTGAAGGCGGCAGGATTTGGATCATCTAGTACTCACCAAGCTGTTCTACAATCTGGGTGTAAACTTTGTCTAGTCTCCTCATGGACTTGATCAGGTCCTTCCTTCTGAAGCGGATCTCAACTGTTCCCTCTGCTTCTAAGACGCCTCCTCTAAAAGACAAACAGATATATATGTGTATAAGGAACACTGACAGTATAAACAGCCAACTGGCAATTTCATTAAATAAAGATGTTTAGATCAGGAGAGAGTATACTCCATGTACTTCTACACAGAGACATAAGTGTACATGCACACCCATCAAAGCCGCCATCTGGGGAGTACAGAGCAGTCCTGCGACACAGTGCTGCCCTGCGGGGAGCTCTTGACAGCATCTGTCAAGACATTGGACAGCAGTGGTAGACACTGGGTCCTGGGTCTCTAAATCATTGTTCAGCATAGAGGACATGTGCAACGTTTTCTGAATTACTGATTTAAAATACAGCAGTAAAACAAAAGATGAAAATGATGACATAAAACAGCTATAGGCATTTTATTTTCCATAAGAGCCATAAGTGATACAGTACTGTATGGAAAATGCAGAGATATATTGGCCTTCATATATGCCATTTAAAACATGTCAGCATTAAAGCCATCTGCTTAGCACAACTGTCTAATGGTTGCTAGTAGGTCAGATGAGTCTGGAAGTACACAGTGCCAAAGGTCAAGTGCCAGATGTTGCAGTCACCATTACGGACACATCACCATGTAGAAAAGGAAGCTATTGAAAAAAACAGGTGAAGCGATGGAGTGATTAGTGACTACACACCTGCTGTCCTTGTCAGCGTAAAGCTCCATGTAGAGAGGATTAATGGTAGGATCTATGACAACCCAGGATCCTCCTCTTAGCTCCGCAAAAGGTGGAATGTACACCAAAACAGGTTGCTTGAATTCTTTCAGGCTGTCCACAATGTATGCTCCAAATTTTAACACTTGATCATACATGTCTGGAAAAAGCAATGCACACACAATAAATACGATCAGAAAACACAGTACAAGGCTACACCTTTCTAATGCCAAACCTGTTTTTTTTTCTTGCAGAAGACAAGGTGAAAATGAGGAAAGCAAAAACACATCCATTACTAATGCCACCTTCCCCAGGTCCCTGATCAACAGCTGCTATCTGACACCGGGTCACACTGCAAACAGTGTAGTGTAATGCCTGACAAGCAGGGAAAGGGATAGCAGAGGGAAGCAATGTCCCCTCACTCTATTGCTTCCAGCTGCCAATCGCCACAGTTACAAAGGAGAAAGATGCCAAATGTCACCGCTGGCAGGACAACAGGGGTAGATGTAAGAAATAAATGTACATCAAAAAGTATCTTCGATCATAAAACTATAATAGAACAAGGATTTATCATGTTTAATATAACAATCTTATTATAACAGACAACAAACACTGTATTGTGGAGCAAAGTGACAACTTCCAAAGAAACTGCACCCAGCATGTACCAATTCATGACGAGATGTTACTTAAACAAAACATTGCACCCTAGTTGGAATATGTATATGGTTCTGATTATTATATGATCTTATAGTGTAGACATTTTCAATCACAAATTTTAGAGCTTACCTTTCATGCCCCCAGAAAATCCTCTCCAATTTGCAAAGATGATTAATGGCAGTTTCTCACGGTTAAAGTCTTTAATTGCCTGTGCAGTCTTAAATGCAGAATCTGGGAACCAAACCTGTCCAGCCTGTTGGATGATCTAAACCAAAGCATCATATTTAAAAATATAATATGTTTCATCAATAATTGGGCTCATTATAGCTTGAATCCTAAAGCTTATTTTCGTATGTAGGATAGCACAGTTAAAGGGTCAGAATGTTTGTCAGGTTTTGGATGTTGTGTCCCCATTGGACAGATTTCCTCTCACTTTCCTTTCTCATTGACACCAGTACAAGAAATTCAAAAATGGAAAAAAACCTGACCAAAGTTCCTCCCTTCCCCATTCTATTAAAAAAAACCTGTTTTGCTGCCGTCTCTGTCCTGACAGAGCAATTCCCCCTCACCTTCTGTCCCTGTGATACTCTAGTGGGAACAGAGACAGCAGCACAAACCCAACAACTTTTTTTAACACTTCCCTATTCTAAAAATGCCCCTTATTTTTACTGACAGTGATGGAAAATATGCACCATAGCCTGCTCCTTGATTTCTACATATAAAATGCACTGGACCCCTTCCTCGATACCTTGCTTGGTAATTGTAGGTATTTCTATTGAGCAATCAAAAGGCTTTGCTGCATGCCCTTGTGAGCTCAGGGATCCAAGAATCACCTGTAATCACTGAAATAAGGAAGCCAAGGAACATAGGAAAACAGGACAAGGCATCTAGGTTCAGGTCATAGAGGCACAGGGTTCTATAGGGGACCAGATGGGCGCATCACTTGTGATAATGGGTAGCATAATAGCAATAATGATTATGAATGTGTTGACTATGAGATCCTTGCACACTTTTGCTAATGATCACTAATTGTTCCCAAAATGTCCACAGTCACCACATTTTGAAAGAAAAGTAGTGGTGGGTCCACTTAGTAAGTGGACCACATTCACATGGGGCTTTCTGAGATTCCTGCAAGCAACCTTTAGAATCCTGCGGCAGGAATCCCAAGTGTCCCTGTTCAGATGCAGCTGCTGTACCTATTGAAGTTAATGACAGGGTGGCAGAGCCCATATCTCTCTGCAGCAGTCTGCATGTAATGTATACATGATATGATAACATGCAGTTTGGGATAGATGATTGTCCCTAATCGCCGATAGATGCATCCACAAACAATCATCTGTCCCATAACACATGTAATCTTGCCATGTATGATGGCATGCAGACCGGTGCTAAGAAATGCGGCCACTGCCGCCCTGTCATTAACCTCAATGGCTACAGCAACCACATCTGAATAGGGACACCTGAGATTCCCGATTCAGGAATCCATAGGCTCTTGCTGCAGGTTAAGTCCCCAGCGCTTAGAAAAATTACCTTAGCTTCAGACTCAGGATTTGCTGGATCAGCCGGCACTGCCATCTCCACAGTTCGGGTCTCCACAGCAATAACTCCAAGAGGTATTCCTCCCAGTCTACAAAGGAAATGGAGATCATCTCAGAATATAAACTCAGCTATAGCTGGTAGTTATTATTATTATACAGGATTTATATAGCCTTTTATATATAAAAGGGAGGGGCAAGTGATACATGAGGAGGTAGCTGTGTGGGGATGAATTGTTTGAGAAAGTGATTGTTCAGTGGTTAGGTTTAGGTGGGATACGCTTCCCTGAAGAGATGAGTCTTAAGGGATCGGCTAAAGGCAGTCAGTGTGGCAGATAGACAGATTGACAAATATACAATACTAATTTAGTAAAGAAGCGTAAGAACGGCTAGCCTTGAGTTGAAATTACCTTGCTCGTCCTACCACAACTGTCTGTGCCCAGCGCTGCATGATCTCCATAAAGCTTCCATGGTCAAAGAATCCACTTTGCCATGCCCCTTTGGTGGCTAAAAGATGAAAAGTTGTCCAGGATTAAAACTAATGTTCAAAACTGCAGTACATGAAAAGCCTGGGCACATTTAATGCACTTACATGGATGAACCCTCCCAGCCAGCATCCAGCGAGGATCATATGGAGCCTTTGTAGGCGTAAACTCAATTGGACGATCAATGGGATCAACAGGAGGGATGACTGGAACTAGACTGTGCTTATCCTTGAGAGACAAATGTCATAAAAGTATAAGCGATACCATTCATGCATACATCTAAATATTTCTTTTCATTCGTTTTACAATTTAGATCTGTAAAAATACATTTACCTTCAAAGTTTCTAGGCATTATTTTTAATTATTGCTTTATCTGGCACCACAATACTAACCCTAATTCTAGATAGAAGCATTTTATACCACACACCAGGCTATCTATGGAAGGGCCAAAAAAGAAATGTATTGCTTTTATTCTTAGTATTATCTGTCTTTTAACTGCATAGGTCTGATTAAGGAGAAAGTAGGGTGAAGGAAAGGAAGACATTGAATGGCTGCTATAAAACAGAGGAAGTTATTCTTTCAGACACTTTTGAAGTGCATCTAAACCCCCAAACAAAGATATGATATATTACAGCTTACATGTCTTTAGACACGGTGCCTGCATTAGTTAACTTTTTCATGCTAAAACATTTTTAGCAAGTACAGAAAATTCCTGTTGATCTTGCCAGAAATGCAGTTTCCTTGTCACTTCCTGTGAGCTGAGAAGAAAGCATAGATATCCTTATCTTTCTTGTGTGATCTACTAGTCCCATCATTTCACATGTAATGCTTTTGAACAAAGGCAGATATGTTTAAAGTCCAGCCTGTGGAGAAGTGGATGTAGACATGAAGGGACAGTCATTGTGTTAAGGATTGGTAAACTGCACTATGGATATAGATAGCAAAGAATATATTAAAGTGTATAAAATGGGCAAAACCAAAATTGTGGTAATTTAATGACCAATGACCGCAACATGGACCACAAAAGGAACTTACCTTTGGCATATAGGAGAGCCACTGAAGGATGGTATACACTCCTTCAAAATCATCAGGCACCATAGTGTGGGACACCCCGTTATTGCACATGATTTGGACACCTCCCAACTGGTTATTTGATGTGTATACTTCACGACCTAAGACCTGAAATGGTAGAATTGTTAACTATAAGAACGATTACATGTATTCCCCATACATTTATAACTTTACTGAAATATGGTAATCAATTTGTTCTGCTAACCTATTATATATAGTGAGGTAATAACAAAACTTTTATATCCTACTGAAAAGTTCTCTCATACCCGCAGAATGTCTGAGATTACAGTGCTGGAATGGATTGTACTTTTAAGAGACATTGCAATACTCTGGTACTTACCTTGTTCAGAGCACTGGCTCCTGTCAAGATTATGTGGGAATTCTCTATTTGTATGACACGTTGCCCCAGCCTCACCAAGTAGGCCCCAATCCCAATTGCCCGACAAGTAACCTTAAGTGAAAGAGAAATATGAATGTACATCTGCATGTGCTGATCCAATTTAAATAACTATGAACAGAAATATTTCATGTTTACTTAGCAATCACAGACACATGAGCAACAAAAGCATTAAATATACAATATATAAATATAAATAGGTTTGTTTTTTTTTGGTATCGAGTACCGATATTTTGCTTTCGGTACTCAGCGATACCGAGTACCGATGCTTCCACTGGCATGGAGTCGGCTTCCCAGGCAATGTGATTGCCTGATAAGCTGGTTCCATGTTGTTTGGCCAGCTTGATTAGGCTTGACCGGGAAACTGGCTTCCCAGCAAATGAGCATCGAGTCGGCTTCCCGGCCATTCGGGAAGCTGGGTGGCAAGTAATGAGCCGCCTCCCAGCTTCCCAATCGCACGCAGGGAAGCTGGCTCCATGTTCCCCTATGGCACTACCGGTCAGAGGAAATCTTCGTCTGACCGGAAGTTCCGGTATCAGGGAAAGTATCCTAGCATTTGGGGCGAGTATCGGTGCATCCCTAATATATATAATGCATTACAGGCAGGTACACATACCATGCTGATGGTAACAATCTCATCATATGCTAGCGAAGATTCTCCAGCTATTGTCCCGGAGCCTCTGAGGTTTTCCACTCCTATTCCTTCCTCTTTCCCAATGATGTCAGTTATCATGTACCTGTGAAGTAAAAGCAATACTACATTACTTCCCAGAATCCACAATATCAACAACAAAAGTTTCTAAAGGCTTAGTTTCTATAAACCATATATCAGTTTAACATCAAGTTAAAATTATTTTGTTGATTTTTTTCTTCTAAATAGTAGGTATTAAAGCGGACCTTTACACTCAAAAATCAAATTCTACCAATGCATGCCTCTATATATGATGATTAAAAAGAACATAGACACGTCAGGCGTAAAATGCTTTGATTGTGAAATACTTACACTTGCAGAGCATTCACTTCCTGCTTAGAAAGGGCAAAATGACTGCAGTTTGTCAAAGCAATGCACACTGGCATTACCTTGTCATCAGCAGAGCATTGCTGGGAAATTTCATCTGTAATCTCATGAGATCTCAGGGAAAGGCATTTTCCTCCCCTGACATAATGTGCATGGTCACATGTCCTAGTCACATGTGCCAGAAATCAAGGAAGTAAAAGGAGAGCTAGTAATCTGCCCTTAGTAAACATGACCACTGCCAGAAGGCTGGGGAAGAAAAGAGAAATAAGGTATGCAAAGAATACAAGGCCAGCAATCATCTAGAAGGATGTGTTTGTAGCTTGTCATTACTAAACATTTCTAACAGCGCGTTTGTTGTTATTTTAAAGATATGGGTAAAGGTCCGCTTTAAAGTACTCATACAATAACAAATGAACAGTGGATTGGGACCACTCCCTTGTTACCCCATTGGTCCTTTATATGCCTGACTGGTTGAAACTGCCTATAAACGTCTTTTGTTAGAATCAGGTGGAGATGCAAGGCAAAATGGTCCAGAATTTCCTTTTAGTTGTAAACCAGAGAATCAGCACATGGAAGTGAAGGATATCTGCACATCACTCTCACCTCCTAGCATTACACTAACCATTTTAGTGGAATTTTTCCCTGGGGCAGTAAAGATCTACTTAATGTTAGTGATGAGGCTGGGCTTAGTATGCACCAAGGACCCATTCAAAACTCTGACTGCGCTCCCTCCCGACCAAATTAGTGGTAGCAGTTGCAGGGGGGCATTCCCTACACTCTTGTGACATATAGCAGCGGGGCAGGGAATGCTCCTCTCCACAACTGATTCGTTTGGGAGGAGGGGTGTTAGTCAGTTGAGAGGGGCTTTGGTATACTCCGGTGAAATGGGTTTGTACCAAGCCCAGCCTCATCACTTCTTGACATGGCATGCATAAAAATTCAGTATGTGGCCATGTCAGCCTGCCCAATAATAAAGGTCCGTTCACACCACAACTCTATATGTTACAACGTGCACTGCATTGTGTTAAACAGCCCATTCAAAATAATGGGCTGCAAGGCATGCAAAAATAGGGCATGCTTTGTGATGTACTGCACTGCAGTGTACGTGCTTTATGGAGGTGTGTTTGGTGCCATTCATAAAGAATGGCACTGCAGTGTGCTAATACATGTATCGTGTGTTGGTCGTGTGTTACTGCAACACAATGGTATGAATGGGCTCATTAGTACCTGGATTCTCCTTCATCTTCCACATGTTCACAATGTACAGAATTCATCGAGCTGATCCGTGTGTAATCCTGAGGAGTTAGATACAAATACTTAAAGCCCTAAATAGAAAAATAGAGAATAAAAAAGAAATATCTTTAGCAAAACATGTCAGAGTAAAATTAAATAAACTAGTAATCACATAAAGATGAATAATATATTTAAAACTCTCTAGGTCCAACATTGCAATTGTATTAAACAATCATATATTTTTAGGTGAATGGAAGTGTTCAACAATGAAAAAATAAATGAATAAAAAAAAAAAAAACTTGTTTATAAATTGACTCTATGAGCTGGAAACAATGTAACACATAGTTTTATGTCATATTTCCATTGGTAGCCAGCAAGATCTATATAATCATTTAAGCTTTACGTGGGAAAACATGAAAAATAGGGCTGTTACTGATTAAGATTTTCCGGTGACGTCGATGTCCGTGACGTCACCGGATCTCCGACGGAACTCCCGGCAGCCGGCGGAGAGGTGAGTACCGATCAAAAAAATTTTAATCGATCAAAAAAATTAATGATTAATTGAGGAATTAATCGGTAATTTCCGCAGCCCTAATGAAAAATGACATCCAATCAAAACAAAGAGATTGCAATGTGTAGCTAGCTTTTCATCATACCTTGTATGGGTCAGAAGGATCATTCCAAGCCACATGAAACATATGTCTGAGTTCCTCAGCCAGTCCTATCCGTGCACCACTGTTGGCTGCAATGTAAATCCGTGGGATCCCTTCCTTTCTGGAAAGCTCTGAAGCTCGTAGAAACAGCAGATCTTCCTGTGGCCCAAATGAGCCAATCTTGTAGGTGATATCATTACAAATAACGACAATGTCACGCCCTTTTGGATACTCGGGAGTCTTAAGTTTCATCTTGAAAGCCACCATTCCAACCTAGTAAACAGATTATAGAGATCAGATGATGAAATAATGCGGAATTTTCATTTAAACCCCAAGATGTTTATAAACTGCAATTTTCAGTATAGGTTCTTTAACCCCTTCGTGACGGGAGACGTACACTGTACGTCCCGCCACAAAGTGCCCAAATCAGTGGCCAAGTACACTGTACCTGACCAGTTATTTGCGGCTCTGTAATGCTGGTAACCGCTGAGAATCAGTGGTTACCATTCATTAATGAATGCCTCAGTATTGAGGCATTCATTAATGAAATAGTTAAGCTTTTGAATAAGCTTCTTTCTTTCATTAATGAAAGAATGAAGCTGTTACATACAGCTAAATAGCGATCTGGTATTTGACAGCTAAGATAGCAGAGAGGTAGCAGAGTGAGTCACCTCTCTGCTATTCGTTTTGACATCTCCATAGACTGGCCCTAAGTTTACAAAGCTGTGTGTGATACATTTCAGGCACAGGAATATTACAATGTATCTCTTTGCCTGAAATGTATCACTCCTGATCATCTTGGCAGGCTCAGAAACCTTTAGTGAGATCTGAATCTGAGATGCTGTCAGGATCAGTCTCTAAGGTTATTGTTATCTGCTCCTCAGTTTGTAAAAAATATTTCTAAAAAATAATAATCAAAACTTGTGAAAAAAGTGTTTTCTTTATGTTTTTTCCTCATTTTATATTTTATTTGTCCTAAATGAGGTGTTTGCTACACATATGTGATATAATTATATAGCCCTATCTGTCCTCTAAAAAACAATATATAATATGTGTGGGTACATTTAGTAAGAAAGTATATTACTGCTGTGGAAGAATCACACAGCAAAAATGTAAAAAGTGTGTCAGTCATTTACGAACAGAAACGGGAAAAAAGCTCAGTCATGAAGGGGTTAATGAAAGATGGCTATAACTGATGTCAACCAAATACCATATATTTCATTACCTCATTTCCTCCTGGTAATCTGTTCAGCTGAACCAACTGACCCTGGCTGTCAAGGACCAGCTCTGTGTAGGTAAGGATATCAGAGGAACATGGTTCTCCACAACTCCACAGTTTAAAAAGAGCCTGCGGAGACAACATTCACAGTTAGCAACAATACAAAGCTAGCTGCAAATTATAAGTATCAACTTAAAGTATGAAATTGCTTGGATCCTCATATCGTGTTTCCCCTAAAATAAGACACTGTCTTATATTTTTTGGGGCTCAAAAAAACACACTAGGTCTTATTTCCGGTGTAGTCTTATTTAATTTTTTCTATGTACAACAATCCATACTTATGTACAACAGTGTACATGTATTCATGTACAAAAATATGGTGATCAGGGCAATCAGGGGTGCCGTACCTTTCCAAGAGCAATTTGCTAACCAATCGCTGGCCAGAATGAGCGAAGCTCACTTTTACTATCGATTCCTCACAGGCGGAGTGCATTTGGTATCACTCCGTCTGTGACAGGAGCCGGCGCTATAGAGGAAGCATCGGCTTATGCTCCCTTGCTTCCTCTAGCGCTGGCTTTGTTGGCACCGCTGATTCTCTCCTGCCTCTCCCGCGGCTCTTCAAGTTCCCCCTTATGCCACCACCGGTTCCCGACTATTTTTGGGAACGTTCAGCAATTCCCAAAATAGTACTAGGTCTTATTTTCAGGGTAGGTCTTATTTTCGGGGAAACGGTACATAGCAGTAAATACAACTAGCACGCACAACTCGAAGGGTTAACATTTCAATAATAATGTTATCTTAATTCAAAGCAGCTGGTTTATTTGCCAGCATGTTCATGAAATATGCTTTTTGCTCTTACCTGTCTAAACATTTCTGGGAAGTCATACACATAGGTGGTACCTAGAGACTGAGCCTGGAATCTTTTTGACTGCAGCAGATCTTTGGTTACGTAAGGGGTATTAATCAGCATCCCATGCATATGTCCATGTTTATCTCCATATGAATTAAACATAATCTGTTAAAGAATCAAAAACAATATTACATTCTCAGTCATTCCTTCAAATTAATGCATTCTACGGGGTAGGGGTAGGCAACCTCCAGTCCTTCAGCTGTGGTGAAACTAAAAATCCCATCATGCATCTGACTCTGGAAGTCATACCTGTGGCTGTCAGAGTCTTGCAGTGCCTAATGAGATCTGTAGTTGCACCACAGTTGGAGGGCCTGCTATAGACCCAAGTAATAAATATGCAAAAAAACATAAATAAGCTAAACTGCTTTAAATACCCTGCAAACAATTCATTGTAAATGCTTCCATACATACAAATCCCATCACATATCATGGTGGTGGTCTATGTCTAGGATGTGAAGAACAGGAGACAGACATTACTAGAATTCACTGGAAATTTTTGTGAAATATTTTGTTTTTCTCTACTGAAAAAAATTAAAAAATACCCAGGCCTAATGGTGACATTGACTTACTTGCAATGAATGGTGGACATGTATGCTGGGTGAACATAGCATCATTTTGCTCTGATCACTATGTACTGTATAGCTAGTTTTAGTGGTGTTATTCTTCTTTCAGTTGCGCCTCAGCTTGTAATGTTTTGCTTGTGCGATTTTCTTTTTTAACCCCTTCATGACTGAGCTTGTTTTTAGTTTCTGTTCGTAAATGACTGAAGCACTTTTGACATTCTTCTGTGTGATTCTTCCACGTCGGTAATATACTTTCTTACAAAGTGAACCCACACGTATTATATATTGTTTTTTAGAGGACAGATAGGGCTATATATTTATATCACATATGTGTACCTAACGCCTCACTTAGGACACCTCACATCCCTAGGATTTTAGAGATTTTTCTGTACTTCTCAGCCTAAAACTAAAACCTAACATTTTAATCTTTTTTCTCTAAAAGCTAAAAGTGGTCACCTGGCATACAATGTCACTAAGTGTCACACTTAGTGACAGCGACATACATTGAACTGTCATGAGGGGGTTACAAAAAATAATTAGCCCCTTAGGGTGAAAAACAAATCTGCAGATTTTCATTGTAAGGGGTTCATTTTTATATAAATGATAGTATAAAAATATATCATTTTTATTTGTTACATTTATTTTTTTACACTTTTTACTATTTAAAAAAAAAATGTTTTACATTTTTATTTAATTTAATTATATCAAGCAGTCATTGTGAATTCATCTCACTATTACTGCTTTATAAATTAATTCATTTTTGGTTATTGTTAGGCTGCTTCAAACTTAAGAACAGCCAATAATAACCTTAGTGACACTGATCCTGCAGCATTTCAGGATCAGATGTCATGAAAGTTTTTCTGATCGTTCCAACAACGATCAGAAAACTTGAAAGTGGGAGAAGAGACAGCAGAGAGAGAGAAGAGACAGCCAAGGGAGAGGGCCGGTTAACACCACAAAGTCTGCGTTCCAGAGTGTTCGGCCTCCCGCCGCACCCTGTGTTCCGGTCCAGTGGGATCTGCAAAAATAGTGCTTGCAGCATTTTTGCAGATCGCACTGGTCCGAAACACAAGCACTAATGTGCCTGCGTCCGGGTGCAGGCGATCGTACTGCGGGCGGGGTGTGTGGCTGAGGTGCCATTGACTTCAATGCACCGCCACGCCCCCTCCCGCCCCTGAATGCCGGTGTTTTTTCATTGGTAGATCTCATTGAGCTCGTCATTTGAAAAGTAGATCTCTAGACGAAAAATGATGGGCGCCCCTGCTATAGAACAACACCATTACATTTGTTATAGGTTTTAGACATGCCTCACACAAGCATGCAGTAAAATACTTGCTTCTCATTATACTTGAGTAAATCACCACCACCACAATACTTCCTAGTTGCAGATACAGAAAAACACAGATCCTCCCTGGTACTTTGGCGGATATCACTCACATGTCCAGTGCTGGGATCTGTCACCTCTTTATAGAGGCTGATATCCAGGTAGTAGCCAGACTCATTGGTTAGGAACAGGCGGATTGGTATTGCTTTGCCTGTTGGTATTAATCTAATGTTAATCTTCACTTCAGCTTGAAGTACCCGCAGTTTCCACAAGCGGCTGCCATATCTCATGACCATAGAGCGGACGGACTCCTCAATCTACAAAAAGAAGAGGTCACCGTTAACATGGTAGGCAGATGGTCTAACATTTAGATTTTTCAGATGTGAACCAAATAAATGATCTGATGAAAAACTAGGTCTCTATTTCTCCTGCAAACTGATTGCTTGCTAAGGGCACCACACTTTTCATTCAGATACATGAGGCCTAAAATGATGGCTTTTGCCTTTTGAGAAGCTTCAATCCTTGCATGATGTGGGTTGTTTTATGCATACATCACTAATGTGATTATGGTGAGAATGTTTCAAGGATTTTTCTTTATTTTTCATGTTTTCTCTGCATAAATCGGCGGCAAAAGTCGCCGGGAGTCTGTTTAAACAGCCCCGATGCTGGCGACGTACACTGTACGTCGTCAGTCACGAAGGGGTTAAACACGAGAGTTAAATCTAACTAACTACTAACAAAAATGTATCTTATTTATGTATCACTTGGCTGTAGATCCTAAAATTATCTCTGAATTGGAGCCGACACTGTCCTTCCTTCTGGAGGGTGGCTACTTTTGTTCCCCATGGCCCGTGTGTGTGTTGTAAAGTAGACACCGCTCCAAGCTCGCTCCTGTGAAGGACTACAACCTCATGTTTATTTTTCTTACTTCTATTGAAATTATTAGAGTCAGCACCAAGTCAGAGATGGTTTGGGGATCTACAGCCGAGTGATACACAAATAAGATACATTTTTGTTAATAGTTAAGGTACTTGCATTTTTACATTTAACTCCGGAGTTTAGTGTCGCTTTAACTTTACCCTTAAAATTAACCCATTAATACCTACCATGAGAGAAAGATCTACACTGCTGCTGACCTTTACTTCTGCTTACTGAGAGCTAGTTAACCACTATACTGCCACATCCTTACAATTAACACCCTAATCCTCAAGCTTAAGACTAACTATAACTTTGCCCTTAGTCCTCCCTAATGATTTACCCCAAATGTTTGTAATTCATGTATCTGCACTAGCGCACTTAGGAGTCCCATCCAAGATGTACCTGTACCTGAATGTAAAAAATATTCTGTAAATTGTCATAATCTGGATCTTCTCACACAAACCTCAGATCTGCATATACTATTCTCTGATGCCCATAGGAAATGCATTCCCATAAGTCCAACCTCTTATCTGCATACATTAAAGCGGACTTTACCCATATCTTTAAAATAACAACAAACAAACTTTTAGAAAATGTTTAGCAATGACAATCTACAAACACATACTTCTAGATGATTGCCGGGTTTTTAGTCTGTGCATACCTTATTTTTCTTTTCTTCCTCAATCTTCTGACAGTGGCCATTTTAACTAAGGGTGGGTTAATAGATCTTGCTTTACTTCCTGGAACTCTGGCACATGCAACTAGGATATGTGACCAAGCACTTCATCTCAGGGGAGGAAAATGCCTTTCCCTGAGATCTCATAAGATTACAGATGAGATTTCTCAACTGTGCTCTGCTGATGTAACCTTCTCAGGATGCAACGCTTGAACACATTACATCATCTGTGCCAAAATGGACTAGGACGTGGATAAACTATTTGTAAGTAAATAAAAAACATTTAACTAATGAGTGTAAGATGATTTTAAAATCAGCATAAAGAGCTGCATGCTGATGTGACTTTTAGTGAAAAGGGGTAAAGGTCCGCTTTAATATCAAATTTTCCTATAGACTTTATAAGTAGAAAATATGCAAACTAACAGTATGCTATACCTCTATATTTGCCTGCAACTTTTGGATTCTACTGAAAAATAAACATTTTTTAATAGAATTGACTGTGGATTTAAATATTTAGAATAAATAACTCCCAGACCATTCCTGGGTAAATGCCCAGGAGGGTCTCTAAGCAGGTAAAAGGGCTTTTCACTCCCACAGAAACATTAGAGGAAATGAACCAGAGAAAGTAGTGGGGTTTGTTTGAGTCGCCCTTTGTTGGAAATATTACCAAACAGGATCATTATTCTACTGCCGATCACGCAAGATGTGCGGGCGCTGTAGACACCGGAGTCAGTCAGCGTTTGTACATCTAGTCAGACTGAAATGTGAGCAGATCTGGGAAAGGTAAAGCGGCTTGGAGAGCGGTGTCTGCCCAGCTGGCCGAGGGACATCTGTGGTAGGGTGATGACTGTTCCCGAGGATGTATATAGGTGTGATGTGAGAGGAATGAGGCGAAAAGATTTGAGATAATACATTTGTCAGCACTGCAAGATCCTCGGCTTGCCTAGGGTTACATATGCACTTTATGGGTTTGGACTTTGTCCATCTCTTAGCCTCTGTGGAGGCGCTGATTGATGTGGGACCGGTGGGCCAGTCACAAGGGTACTGTGTTCTGGTTCTATTTGCTTTTAAATGTCTATGGTTTTATTGAGATGTATTAATAAAATGTTGTAATTTTACCTTTATATTTGTGCGGTAATATTTCCAATAAAGGGCAACTCAAACAAACCACACTACTTTCTCTGGTTCATTTCTCCTGTGGATTTAAATAAATTAACTTTATACATCAACTCTAAAGAATACATTTTCATTCAAATTTAGAAGCATTGGTATAAAACACAGGTCGAAGAGCATTATTTATTTCAAGGGAACTGGTGGTTACCTTTGAAGGATCCATGATGACAGTGGGGACAAAGTTCAGGAAGATGTGGTTGCAGTCAGTGCGGACACTAGGGTCGTTGTAAGCCACTTCTAATTCATCCATAGCTTCTAGCAGAAGACGCTCCCCTTCATTCTGAAGGTACTCAAATGAAGCTTCCTATAAAGATAAAAACCTATGGTGATGATTATGGCTACTATGTCTGGCTCACTTGGGCTAATTTGTTCTGCTAAATATATCAATCCCCAAAACACACTTCTTCATACAATAACAAGAGAAATTTTGGGGGAAAAAACCTACTGACATTTGGCAATGTTCTAACACATTGCCAAGTTTCTGTTTAATGTACTGCTTACAATATGATAGTTTTAGATCTTAGATAGTTTAGATAGTTTTAGATAGAAAGCTTTAGGGTTTTGAGAAGATTATTATAGATCCTCAAACATACAAATTGCTACATTTTGACAAGCTCAGGAAACAATCTAGAATCTCAAATTGTTTTACAATTATTTGGGTAAAATGTGCTTCAGATGCTTTATCTTCAGGGTGCCATGGAAAAGCACTTTTTTCACTCATATCAATAGAATCTTGGTATTTCTTCCCATCTTCTTATTTCTACCCTTTTATCAAACATCAGTACACATAAGTGGGAAAGTGAGTACTTTCAAATAAATATAAAACTTAATTATGCACAACACCTGTATACCCGATGTGGAGAGAAATACAAAATTCATTTAATTGCAATTTAACAATACAAAAACCAATATCTAAGAAGAAGTCTCACAAAACATTTTATTTGTTGCTCCTGTCTCCCATGTGACAAAATGCATGTAGCACCCACCCACCCACCACTCTGTCCCCCTCTGAAGCATGTCGGCAGGAGACAGGCTTTTCTGCTCAGCCTGTGGCTGGTTTTTAAGGCACCATTCACACCAGGGCGGGTGCGGATCAGTGCGGTTTCCGTACGATTTTTAAAAGGGCGGTTTTGGGCATTTTGAATTGTGTTTCAGAGCTGAAACGCAATTAAAAACTCCCAAAACCACGCTGATCAGCGCGTTTCCATTGAAAGCTGTATGGAAACCGTGCTGATCAGCGCGGAAATAAAACTCAGAGAGCAAATCGGGCGGGAGGCGGTTCAGATCCGCGTGGCCGAACCGCCCTGGTGTGAACAGGGCCTCAAGCAAACAAACACTTTGATCATATTCTGTTTTGATGCACCTGGAAATGTATTTAACTGATTATTAATACTATGCGTACACAGGATTTATATGGCACCAACAGTTTGTGCAGAGCTTTACAAAATAAATGGAGACAGTACAGTTACAGTACAAGTCAAGACAAGAGGGGTAGGAGAGCCCTGCTTGTGAGAGGTGACAATCGAAAAAGGAAGGGCAAGTGATGCAAAAGGTAATAATGTGTAAGGGATTAGTTGTTTGAGAAAGTAACATTTTCAATTGTTAAGGAGAAGCAGGACAGGCTTCCCTGAAGAGATGAGCTTTCAGGGATCATCTAAAGGCAGACAAAACAGGAGATAGCAGTATATGTTGGAGTAGGAAGTTCCAGAGGATGGAATTGGCACTGGAGAAGTCTTGGAGGCGAGCATGGGAAGAGCTAACAAGGGAGCTAGAAATCAGGAAGTCTTGGGAGGAGCAGTTTGGGTAATATTTTGAGTCAAGGTTGGAGGTGTAACTTGGTGCACAGTTGTGGATGGCTTTGTATGTATATTTTGAACTATTTAGTAACCTGAATATTCAACTGGACGTTTTTACACAATAAGCTCTAAGCATGTGAAACAGGGCAATAGGAAATCTGATAACTACGGCATGATAACTGCTTGCATTTAGACATAACACAACCATTCTTTTTATCCCCACCATTTTCCAGAGGTTTGGCTCAGTGCCTCTAAAACATCTGACTAGGTGCATGTATGAAGGTCTCTGCTAAAGAGGCCCTCAACTGTGTAAGGTGTGCCCAAAAAGCCAAGCAAAGGGCAAAGAACTAGTCACCAATATTGACTGTATGCACCCTGCAGCAACTTTTTTCCCTATCACTGACTTGCCATGTCTTTTTCTACACCAGGTCTCTGTATTGAGGCAGTCATTTTAGTAGGGCTTTGCTTCCTTATGTCAGATCTGCCCTCCAAAAATTAATGTGGGGTAATATAAGAAACAGCAATAGAGTTGGAGGAATACAGATCCAAAGAATTAATACAGTAGAAGTAGTGAGATGCATGCAGTACAGGTCCTCAGGTACAGATTCCTCTCCAGCAAGCTGCACAGCAATGGCATCACCGAATCACATTTCAAATCTTGTGAGAATAGCAGTCAGAGGCAGGAAAAAAACCTGAAATCTTAAAATAAATATTAGGTTGATGAAGGAATTACCTTTGTCACAAGATCGGAATGTCGGATAATGGCTCGGACGAAAAACCTATAATCTGTCACCTCTATGCCAGCAGCTACTTTAGCTGCTCCAAGGTAGAGGTGCATCTTGTGATTGGCACATGGCACTGCATTCAAGTCAAAGTTCCTCATTCTGTTCAGCTCAAGCTGAAAGGCTAGAGCAGGCTCCAAATGCCTGTAAATGCGATCTTCTGCAAACTAAAAGAAAACATAACATTGTTTTAACTGCCATGTACAATACTTTCCTGTGCTAAAGTAAAATGTGATTCCTGATGGACATCTATCTGTGTAATAACATGCAAATGTCTCCCTTTACCCCTCCCTCCTCTAAACCTCTTGTAAGAAACAGCAACACTGTTGCTCATAGACTTGAACTTCCAGTGACCAGTATGAGAGAGTGAGAGCGTTAACACCAACATTTAACACACCTGCTCCCCATTCACAACTGAGACCTTGTAACACTAATGAGTCACATGACACAGGGGAGGGAAGATGGCTAATTGGGCCCAATTTGGACATTTTCACTTAGGGGTGTACTCACTTTTCTCGCCAGCGGTTTAAACATTAATGGCTGTGTGTTGAGTTATTTTGAGGGGACTGCAAATGTACACTGATATACAAGCTGTACACTCACTACTTTACATTGTAGCAAAGTGTCATTTCTTCTGTGTCGTCACATGAAATGATATCATACAATATTTACAAAAATTTGAGGGGTGTACTCCCTTCTGTGAGATACATTTCTTACATATACGGGCTCCACTTCCTGCTTTGCACACACACTGAAAATTATAAACATTCTATGCCCATGTGGGTGATATGTTATGTCAACATTTGTTCAGAAATTAAATGCACCGAACCACTGAGAGCTCCTTTTAGTGGCAAATCAACACAATAACAAAATATAGAAGTGCAAGCATGTAAAAATATGAATGTCCATTTAAAACTGAATGAAAGGTAAAATTCTGAACATAAAACTCAGTGAAAATACACTTTACTTTCCCCTTAATGTGTTGTGACTGGTGAAAGTACAAAAACAGCAAAATAAACAAACCTCATCTCTTGCTCTAAAAGTAAAGAACTTCGGGAACACTCTCTGAAAAGGAAAACAGAAAAGGATAAGTCTTAGTTACTCCAAGTGAAATAGTCACGCCTGTCAAATCAACTCACTTTTATGGAAAGGATCATTTTAAAAAATGACATACCCTTGCAATCATTGTCACAACATGTGGACATTGTATAATTCTTTAAACAACAATGTTGCATATTCAGAATTTTTAAATAAATAGTTAACAGGCTTAGATCAGATGTCCAGCCTAAATTAGGAAAGGCCAGCTCCGTACACAATTTGAATGACATGTTGGCTTTTTATATTTCTTGGTCAGATATCTTCAGTATTCTGTGCTATGCCCAAATGTTGACATCAACAGAAAGCCAAGCAATAATATCACAATCCCCTAATGGATTCTCCATTGGGGTGTATTAGATTTGAGACTTCAGTTGTGAGAGAAAGATGGTCTAGTGGAAGGGGTAGAGTCAAAAACTACCAAAGGAAAAAGTATTCCATATATCAGAAGCTATTTAAAAATTGCAGCCTCATGTGCCCATGCAGAACTAAAATAATTAGCTGTTCTTGGATTTGGCCTTTAAGCACAGGCTAGCTGAGTGACTGCTAAAGCTGGCCATACACTGTTCTATTTTTTTCATTCAACCCACGGACTGAACAAAAAAGAAATAGAACCGTTTTCTCCATCCACACTTAAGAGTGTTGACCATGTAATATCCAGCTGTCTTCATTGTAGACAATGAAGGCAGTGTAGACAGTGGCCTCCAGTTGCCGGCTGCGTTCATTCAAAGATTTTCGGACCAGCTCCTTCAATCAGCTGATCCAGGGATTCCGACTAAATAGGGAGGCAAAATCAACCAATATTCGCATTGTGTATGGCCACCCTTAGTTATTTAAGCAAGATGTACTAACAGAGGTGAATGTTAGTTGTTACAAAGGTGATAACAACTTCAAATGATTTATTTCTATACTTTACAGTATTACTGTGATTTCAGATGCTTATGCATGGCTTAACAAGTAAATGGACTGTGTCCTCTCACTAACCCTTTGAGCTATTAAGAAAGTGATTCTCCGAAGTCCATAGTCCACCAAAATGTTTTTCTGTAGAAGTAGACAAATATATAGAATAAGTAAAAACATGGAAAAAAGAAAATACATTCAATTGTATGTTCATCCAAAAGGTTTTTTTAAATTTATTTTTGGTTATTGTGGGAAAAGTCTTTTTACTGGTGTCTGTGTGCCTGCTGCAGATGTTCTCTTACCTCCTGTGTGATAAAATTGTTCTCACTGGGACAGAAAGTGATGGGAAATTTCAGTAGCGGATAGCAGTAAAAAGCTGACAAGGGTACTAGCCCTTCTCCACCCTATCCAAACTGAAAATAAAAAAAACCTCTCAAGGCATATGCTTTAAGATTTTAACTTTCTGTTAATTTACTGTATACGGATATCAATCTTCAAACCTTATCAAGTCTGCTAGTATACACACTAAAATCAGGATTACAATTCTGAAACAGATACCAATAGCAAGAAAGCAATGTTTGTACCTACACTTCTTTAATGGTAAGTGCATTTAATAAATAAAAGTAACTTGCACACAATAAATTGACCTTTTATATTGTCCCTACCTTTGACTGGGTGAAGGTTCTGAACACAGTCACCAGCTCTTCATCTTCCATGCGATCAACAGACTTTAAGGCAACATTCAGAATGTGGATTGGCTCTTCCCGGATGCTCTAAAGACATTAACATAACATTATGTTGGCAGTGCTAAACTTTTAGTCTTCATTTTATTGATCTCATAAATGTCTTTCAATTATATGCTGAAATATACGACTAAAGTTTATATAGACAGTATCTTCTCTTTATGACCTTAGTAATGTCAAGTTTTTGCAAGAGACATAAGCATCTTCTGTGTATTATTAAGCTGGATAGTTATACCTTCCTGTTCATATCTCCAAGTGAGTGTTTGCACTTATTAATCGAAAACCACAGACATTGACAAGATAATGCATTACTGGGAAATAAATCTAATAATTACACAAGTATTAAAGAAAATCTGAATAAGTAACTACACATATTTCAAAACAAAGGATTGTTTCAAAATACTAATATACATTTAGGGGTTCTGACAACAAGGGGTACACATACCAAATGGTGTCAGGTAAACAATGGCTTTTGTAAAGGGGTACATCACCTAATGGTGCTGGCATACAATGAAATACCTAACAGGCAAGTATACTATAATGGTTACACACCCTGTCATTTCATCATCTGGCATAGATTTACAGCTAACTGAGGTTATAGTACATTATACAGCGCAATGCAGAATGCCGCCAGCTATTATGTACTATTGCTGGGATTTGTTGTATTCCTCTATAGCTGGTGGTATTCTGCATTCATTGCTGTATAATTTTACACTTTCCATTTCACTATATTGCACACCACACTATCTTTTTTCTTTTTTACTTCCACCGCTCCAAGCTTGCTCCTGTGATGGACTACAACCTCAATACAAACTAGTAGTCCCATCACTGGAGCCTTTTTTTGAACTCTATTTTATGGTTTATCCGATTAACCGATTAATCGAACCTAATAATCGACTAACTAATCGATTTTGAAAATAATCGTTAGCTGCAGCTCTAGTACCAACCTTGTTATCTTCTTCATCGTAAAAAGTAGAACGAGCCTCGCTGAACAATGGACTATTTAAAGGAGGGTCTGCAAAGCAGGAGATTACCTCATCAAAGTTCCTAAAGAAGAGACACAAGTTATTCCAGTGGTTACTGTTTACTTGTTAATTTCAATGTGAGCTAAGTTTAACATATGCTAGAATAACACTATGTGAGTGTAATGAAATTTTTTCTCAAAAGTCAGGCCGAAACGGAATCTTTTTTTTAACCTTTTATATATATATACACATACACACATATATACATACACACACACACACACACACACCTTTCTATAAAAATGTATATATTTTTTTTTTTAATAAATATTTTTAACTTTACTGTTGGGGGCTCTAGGGATATATCAGGGGTCTAAACAGATGTAGAGCACTTCCTGTTCATTCATAATTGGGACACAGTTAACATACTCTGTCCTCAATTATTTCTTTATTATTATTTATAACTCGCGGTCACAGGATGCAAAGCGGGAGGTGCGGGGAGGAGAGCTCGGTCTATTTTGACACCCGACTCCTCCCCCACACCGCTGGCATGGCCTCCTGTGACAGCTGTCTCCACCCCTACACTGCGTCCTGATTTGTCACAGCGCTCTCCTCCCCCGCACCGCCTGGCTTCCTATGACAGTTTCTCTTCTCCCCGCTGGACGATGCGCTGTGTCAGATGCGACAAAGAGCAGCGCCAGCGGGAGGAGAGAAACCAGGGATGCACCGCAATTTCGGCCAAAAGATGGCACTTTCAGCATTTTTCCAAATGTGCCATTTTCGCCCGGCCGAAATTTCAGGTGCATTCCTAGTTAGAACCTCTGTCAGGTTTTAATTGGTGCCTGAATCCCCACCGAGTAGCTTTGCCTTATTTATTTGTCTAGGTAACTATCGTCAAGAAAAGAGAAAGTAATAGGAAACCCAACAATTCACAGCTGTTGACAAAACAGGGCTATGGGGTAAAGATTCCAATAAGGCAACCTGTTTTGGTGACGACTGTCAAGAGGACATTTCCCTCACTTTGGAGAGAGTTTTCTATTCACTTCCTGTTATGTCTCCAAAAGAGCAAGTGAAATCTCCCCAATGAGAAAAAATACATTGACAGGGGTGTTAAACGGTCCATCCTCTATCTGAAACTAAAAAGAAAAAAGTTTTGACTTGACATTCACTTTAAATTAGTTAGAGCATATCATATTACTGCAATCCATGGCTAGTTTTATTTTGTATTATATTGGCTAACCAGAAGTAAGTTAAAAAGGCCATTTTATTTTAATACAAGCACACATGTTTTTTCTTACAGATGTAAATAGCCTTCACATATCACAGAATCACCTTGTGAAATCCTCAAACTTATCAAAAGCCACCATTACTCCCATCCGTTGGCACAAAGGAGAGAAGCCACTGTCCATAAAGAGTTCACTGCTCTGGCGATTTAACTCGAGATGTGTGGCACTGATTGGCAGAGACATCCTGTATGTGAACAGATAAGAACATTAAAGACAAGGATTCTATTTTTTAGAACATTCAGAAAAAATGCAAATATAAAAAGGATTTACAGTGCAATATCATCCATAAACATCAATTCTTCTGCCACTGGCTCTATGGGGTTATTTCATGAAACAACAGAGCATTGTAAATAGCAATACAATATAGAAATAAAAGAAATGGAGTGTGCACAGTAGACCTACAGCTCTAAAGCCTGATTTTTTAAAAAGCATACAAAATAGTAGAGCGATATTATTCTGATGTTATACTGTATCCCCAGTATAGTTAGTAAATAGATATGTAATTTAACAGATGACATGTATGCAAAGATTTTGGCACCATGCTGTCTACATATAACATAACCATGTCTATGCCATGATGCAGGATATTTGAGTGCAGATATGACACCTGTTACGTGGAGAATGCTAAACAAGGCAAAATATACCAGTTAATCTATATATATATATAAACTTATTTTTGAACCTACACAAATACCTGTGCTAGACAGCAGTTAGCAGCAACAATGTATCAGTATATCCAAAAATGGATTTTATCTGAAGATAAACTGAAGATATTAAATTCCATCATTAGCAATACATTGCTGCTTCAATGTTGCGGTTAGAGTAAGAGCCCTCTAAGCCATACTCATACTTGTGTTCCTCGCAACAGAGCAGGCCTGTGCTACAGCTAAGGCTGGCCATACACCTATAAAATATCTGCAGATGGAAAAAGTGCAACCGATTCCTCCATCTACGCTAAACTGTGTGGATGGAGGAATCTCCCGCTGTGCCAAGCTTCAATATCTTGCTAGTCGACCCCGCTGGCTGTCAAAATATCTGAACAATCTAATTGGATGCAGGCATTGTTGTAACCTTGGACCCTTCCTGTGACAAAAAGGGGCCAATAGCTACACAACAAAGAAGGATTGAAATATGAAAAACTTACTCCTTCAGAAAAAATCCTTAAATTCAAGTTACGTCATACACACTTTATGTACTATACAAATTGACTTTTTGAACTTTTGTGAAATTAGCTAACATCTTAGTAGGATTTAGAATTTGTTTAAAGTACATTCATGGAATACAGTTTAATTACAAAATATTTAATTGAAGAAAAAAAAATTAGATGAAATGCTTGCTGATTTCAACATTTTGCAAAAGACAAAGAAAGATATGTATGCTCTCATCATATCCATGTTCATTTGTTGTTCAAGGCCACCATTCTACCCAGTACAATGTACCTGTTACTGAAAATAGATAATGCTCTTACTCATCTTAAGAGAACACCATACTATTAATGATCATGTGTAGAAATACAAGTTGCTCTTACAATTATTCATTTCTTTGAATATACTCAAACATTTTAAATCAAATTTGGCTGAAAAGTGGCAGCACTGCAATAGGTATGTAGTTAATAATTGTTTGGTTTTTTTTTTTTTACACAAAATATGCTTAAATTCCTTTTACAGATACACTTCTGTACATTTTCAAGCAATTTGCATTTAAACAACTAGGCCACTGCTATTAGAAAAAAGGTGGGTGCATATTTACAAATACCGTGGGAGA